GGGTACTGATATGCTTAAAGAATTGATTATCTTATATTTCCCCTAATCCTGACATCTGGAAAGAACTGTGGCTGTACAAAATACCATCTATTGCTAATTCTTTATACAGCCCTAGCACCTCTCACCCTAAAGGACCAGACCTCCTGAACTCTGTACCGTGACTACCTTTCCCTTCCCCTCAAAGGCCACAGTAAATGAGGTCTTAGAGAAGTCCAGCTGCATGATAGCAGCTGCTGCCTTATGCTCCCCTAAAGGAAAAGTGGGGCCTATTTTGGGATGTGATGTGACCAACTGGCTGCAATCCTTGTATTTTCTCTGTCTCAGTGCCCTTCACTGCTCTTGGAGAGGTGGCCCTGCAGAAGATGGTCCCAAGGGATGTGCAGCAGCCAAATACAGCCTCTGCTAGAGGGAAAATTCATGCACGATGCAGGGCAAGCGCCGCTTTACAATAACCTCTGGTAAAGAGGAGCTGTTCAGCATAAAACAGCTAATTGGGTCTGTGTTGGGATGCTTTAGTACCCATACTGAAATTTGGCCAAGGAAATGAAGCTCACACCTTTCACTGTTGCACACAAATAGACCATTATTTCCAAGGGATCTTTCATAACCAGTATTGGTGAGGAATTATCATGCATAACATCCAAACCTGAATGCACCTGGCTCCAGTATGGGATCAATGGTGATTGTTTTTTTTGTATTGGGTTGTTTTTTTAATATTCCATTTTCAGCTGGAAATTACTGATGTGACCAAAGTCCGATTCCCTTCAGCAGTTTCTCCCTTCCTTCCCCCACCTTTTCGCACTCCCTGAGGTCTGACCATCTGGAAATCCTCCTCCACCTCTTCATCATGTGTGAATTTCCACCTAGGGCTGAAAGTGTCACTGTACTAAAGTGTGATGCATTAACACATTGAGGCAGAAAGCAGAGGGGAGTTGGGGATTATAACACTTCATGACCCACTCCACAGTCGCTCTATGATTTAATCATATTTATCAGCTTGTACCCTTTTCTTTGTATCCCTTTATTTTCCCATATCCTTTGTTAAAATATTCCTGTAATTAAAAAAAAAAAAAAAAAAACAACTCTACACAAACAATTAAAGTCCAGTATCTTGTCTTGAGACTAGGACCAAGTGAAACAGGCAAATGTCTCAAGGAGAACGTGCCTCGCTCAAGCAAGCTGGGGGAACTAGATTGCTCTTTTGCAATGAAGCTCCCTAGTTATCCCTATCTCCTATTGCATATTGCAAACCTGGGGTTCTGTCTGGCCCAATCCTCATGCAGGTGATCTGAGCAATTGTAATTTTTATACCTTTATATATAAAGTATAAGCAGTAATAATATTATCTTGTACAGAAATGAAACCAAGCCCTGCAACCTGTGTTGGTTTATCCTTTCAGCAGAGCGGAATGGAAAATTCACTAGTTTGGAAGTCAGTTAGCTACCTAGCTTTCTCCTAAATACTGAGGCTTATTATGCTTCAAATAAATATATATATATTTCTTCTGTGGCTTGGTTGCTGTAATCATCTTGGATGTAATAATGTTACTAGCCTCAGGGCTATATTTATTAAGATTTTAATTTAAAATCTTTCTGTCCTTCAGCATTTAAACAGAGGAAAACCCCATCTGGAGTAGCCAAAAAAAAAAAAAAAAAAGTTCATCCTTTTCTTTTTCATGCGTTCCCCTCCCCTAGGCCCTCTCTCTCATCTTTTAAGCAAAAAAGTAGAACAACGCACTTTCCTGTTGTAGCTCTGCACCCTCCTAACATTTCAGTACCTGTGTAGGTTTGGTAGACCCAACATCTGCTTAATATGATCCATGTGCTCCTGTTCTTGCCGTCTCTGGAGCAGTGGTTTATTTTCTTACCCTTGTACCAGTACATTTCACAGTAATATTTCCACATAATATGATTTACTCCTAATAATGTTCTTGGTAAGGATCTAAACCACAGCAATAAATGTTGGGGGGTGAAACTATTATTCAGAAATGGCAAAGGGCTCTGGAGAAGTTTTAGGGTTATTCCTTGTTAATAAGCTGCCTCATGTCTGAGGAGATCATGGCAGGGAAATAACAGAACAAGAAGACCTGCTTGTAACCTGAGGAGTGAAAAACTCCCATGATCTTAAAACTCTTGAGGGGACAGCGTGAGCTGTCACAGTGTACATGCTTTTTCATGTTTTGGAAGAAATAGCAGGTGTTAGCACCCAGGCTGTATAGATTTTGCAATCCGTTTTGTTTTAATCCCATGGCATATTCACACTATTCCCTCGTAAGGGGACAGGTAGCACCAATTTATAAATGGTAAATACTGAGCAGGGCAGAAGGTGATTCAGAAATTTTTGTTTAACCTTCTCACGTGATTTAGTAGTACTGGAACATCAGCGATGGGTGGTAGCAGAGGACCTTGCTGGTAGCTAATGTCAATGTAGCAAACATGGAGGGTGAGACAGCCTGAACATACTTGTTAGAGGCCTGCAATGGCTAAATAGCACTGGGCAAATGACTGTGAATCATGTGGGCTAACTCTCATCTGGGATAAATCGATAGAGCTCCACAAACTGTGACAGTGCTGCTGCTCTGGCCCGGCGGAAAAGATCTCCCTTGCTTGAACTGGGGGACTTTGCTGTTACAGGAGCCCCTTGTTCCTGGTCCTAACAGTGAGCACATCAGTCAACCGTACCACAATCTTTAAAAACCCAGTCTGATGTTCTTGTGCAAACAGCCAAACTTCGCAGCAGTTTTGATGTAACAAAAGAGTCACGGAAACAAAACTGGGCAATTTAAGTACGAACAGATTGAAAATTACTTTTGACATACAGCACCAAGGCCGTGCTGTTAGTATCAAGCTCCATGAAGAGGAATTCCTGTATGCTGCTTCTCTCCACCTGATTTCAAAGCAACTTACAGCTAGTAAAAATGGGGTAAAGAGGAAGAAATTCAGGCCTAAGCACAGGTCTTCTGGCTGCAGCCTGTCCCATGGGCAGCAGGTGTAGACACTTCCTCTGCATTATGCTGCTTGCTTGTAGTAAAAAAAAGGTAGCTTACATTCAGGTACTCATCAGGCACTACTGATTGTCCATCATGAGATGACTCAACCTTCTGTACCCCATTTCTCCCATGGCATTGCAAAGGTACCAACAATTTTTTGCTTCTGAGCTCCATTAAAAATTAGACGGAAAACCTCTCCATCTTGTCACCACTCCCTGATAATCACTGATTTTCTCAGGACAGCTGATTTTAACATTGCTCCATTCTACTGTTCATTTTCCTGATTTAGTAGATGTACCAGTCTGTCGTGTTTTGGGCCTGGTTGGCAGCCAACCACAATGCAGCAGCTCTCTCTCCCTTCCCCTCCGGCAATGAGAAGGGACAGAGAGCCAGGCTTGGGGTTCGAGACAGGACAGGGATGGGGAGAAAATTCCCCTTTATGGTCACGAGCAAAAGGCAGACTCGTTAGGGGAAGAAAAAAAAAGAACATACATTTATTACAGACACTAACAACACACAACAGAGTAGGACAGTGAGAAGCATTGCCACATCTTGAGAACACCTTCCCCCCACCCCTCCCTTCTTCCCGGGCTCAGCTCTGCTCCCGATATCTCTACCTCCTCCCCCAGTGGCGCAGGGGCAGGGAATGGGGGGTGCAGTCAGCACTGCCACTTCCTTCATCTTCGGTGAGGAACTTGTTCCTCCTGCTCCATTGTGGTCCCCCTCTCACAGGAGACAGTTCTCCACAAACTTTCTCCGACTTGAATTCCTCCCATGGGCCGCAGCGTTCCCCACACTGCTCCATCATAGGTCACTAACTTCCTCTGACTGGATTCTCTCCCACGGCTGCAGCCCTTCCCGAGCTGCTCCGGCGTGGGACTCCCCTGCATGCTGCAATCCTCCCAGCGCTGAATTACAGCAGCAGGGATACCTTTTTCCACGAGACCCCGGCCTTCTTCAGGCACAGCACCTTGATCAGGCGAGCAGGAGCAACAGGCCACAAATCAATGTCTGCTCCACCGTAGATCTTCATGGGTGGCGGGGGGGGCCGCCCTGCCGTCTCACCACAGGATACAGGGGGGTCTCTGCTCCTGCACACCTCCCCCCCTCCTTTCTTCCTCCGTTCCTCCACTGACCTTGGTGTTCATGCAGCTGCAGCAACTCCTCCTCACCAGTCCCACTGCCCGTCACCACGTCCCTTCTTAAATACGTTATCGCAGAGGTGCAGCCGATTGGCTCAATTTCCCAAACAGAAGTGGAGCTGACGTGGAGCTGGGGGAGCTTCGAGAAGCTTCTCACAAAGGGGCCGCCCCGATAGCCCCCTCCCCTGCCACCAAAAAACTCCACCACTCACTCAACCCAGGACACAGTCACAGCTGGATCTATAGAAGAAACGCACCAGTTGACTTCTAAATGCATTGCCTCAGTAAGTAGCGTTCAAATTAGGAGAAGTCAAGTTTTAACTATTTTGTTTACCACTTAAATGCAGCTTTTATTTTTACTCACTTTGCTACTTTGCAAGGCTTTTGGTGTGAACTTAAATAAACATGAAAATCATGTTCTTATGTATGTTAAAAGTGCTTATATGTTAAAAGTGCTCACCACAAAGCAGACACTTCTTTGTTGGGCAACCAGCACAGCTTTTTCATGTTGTCTGTGTGTCCTCACCCGCCCCAACCTATTTAGGTCAATACAAGCAACTTCAGAGGAAGTCACTGCCTGGTTATAAGGCTACAGCTTTGGACTACGGAGGACAGACTGTGAGGAAAACGAGCGTTTCTGGGCCGTCAACAAGCAGCGGATAGCTTTTGAATATTACACGGGGGGGTATCCACCCGATGGTGTTCAGTCCCTTTACTTTGGAAACTGAAGCAGATTCCCTGAACTCAGTCCCTTTGCCAGAGGGCACGCTGCTTCCTGCGGAGACCTGCCTGAGGCAAGGTACCTGACTGCACCGCTTCACAGCGCGGGAGATCCACCTGCGCTTCGCTTCGCTGCCCAAAGCAAATGTGGGAGCTTGGATGCAAACCTCCCAGGAGTGCGAAGGGGTCCCCCGAAGAGGATCAATCGGCCAACACGTTGCCCGTGAGGCACCGCAAGGTAGCTGAGCTGACGGGAGCGGGACTACAGCTGCGCAGTGGGAGTGGGAGGCTGAAGCTGGGAGAATACCCCCGCAACCCTGTAATTCTGCCTCCCCCATGCCCCCATCCTGCCTGACACTTGTGCGAGGAGCTGGCATTCCAGAGGTGCTCTTCAAAACTTGTTGAGGGCTCTGTTTTACTTCTCTGTGACTCATCTTCCAGATTCTTGTTGTACCTGCTTTAGATGAGGAGTTCCCAGTTTGGTCAGGTCCTTTGTTTCTGCATGCTATACCCCCTTTTTCCAAGAGGTCCTCAGAGAGTAGGACCCTTTTTTTTTTTAGAGAGAGTGAATCTGTTAACAGTTTTCAGTTAAAGAAGCATGAGCAGGAACAAAGGAGTCACATTAAACCTTTAGTGTTCTTTTTGTGAGTTAGATCTTCCTTTGCCAGTTTAGAAAATGTCCAGGTCATTCGGAACAGCATTTACCTACTTGATTTTCAGTAGGACTTTTCCTTCTACAGAATTATGGTACTTTTGCAACATCCACTGTTTTTGTTGCAATTGTTTAAAAAGTAATTGTACGTAGCGAGGAATCAGTCTGGTTACAGATACATAATTTCATCTGAAGTAAAAGAATGGCATGGATAGAAATTCCAGATAGAGCAGAGCACTCCCAGCCTGCCCCTGCAACCGTGCGCCTCAGTTTCTCTATATTTCCAGCAAGATGACAATGGCCACCTTGTAAAAAGCTTTCAGATATGGGGCAGAAGTATATACTTCAAGGTCTAGTCTTGAAACTTCTGTGGGATAGCAATGCTCTTCTGAAGTGCCATTTAAAACAGATTGTGTTTCACTACGTGCAAAAATCCCCCATATAGATATAGCTATATGAGCAAAAAAAAAAAAAAAAAAAGTGCTTTTGCTGGTATAGCCTATTTTATTTGGGAAATGCTTGCAGAAAAAGATGCTTGTGCTAGTAAAACTTGTGTTTGCTGGTTATCAAAAGAGAAGCATTTCTAGTGCAAGTCAGGCCTCTTATAAATGAAGCTTTATTCAGTTCAGCCATCGGTACAGTAAAGAAAATCCTTCCTCAAAGGGATTAGTAAGGTTTCCTAATGGATATTATTAATGGTTTAAGAGCATAAAAGGTGCTTTAGCAATATGTGAGGAGCTAGATCATTTGCTAGTGTAAACTGCTTATGGTCCTGCTGAAGGCATCATGGAAACACAGAGCAGCGAGGGAGCTGCCTTGTGCCATCACTGGCTGCTCAGTTTCTAGAGCTTCCCACCGCCTCAGGAAGGTGCAGAGCTGCACTGACTGGCCTCTCCAAAAGCATGACTTCTGCATCTGCCACCCCCTGGGAAAAAACGTACATAAGTAAATATTTAGGTTATAGAGGAAGAGTGGCAGTGGTTTGCCTCGGAAAGATGCTGATTTACAGTGACTGAGGATCTCAGTTTATGCTGATTTCATTATACCAGTAACTTTTATAGGCATCAGATTCCAGTCACAATACTTGATGTTTCTACAGAAAATACCCTCCGATCCTGTACCTTCTCACAGCGGGGCTCTCTGTCTAACTGTGTGCTTGCCCATTAAGCACGAATCCCAGCCATTTCCTTCCCAGTTTTCCCCTGCATTTAATGTATGGAGACGCATGACCCTGAATCAGATGAATAGCAGCCGGTTTGAGAAGGTGTGTGTGAAAACGTATCCTCACACAGATGAGCTCAGAACAAATAGAATGGAGGGGAGGAGAGCAGAGCAGGGGGAGTGTGAAGCTAACCTTTCCATGATAGTTGAGCCACTATGTGTAAGCAACAAGTTTATGCCCAAGGGAAAGAACTGAAAGCTGAGGAGATCTTAAAATTAACCGAGCTTTATGGCTCAATCAATAAGCCGTGCTCCCTGAGCAAGATTAGAAATCCAATGGCACATTTCTTTCAGTTACCCCTGTTTGCTCTCCCTGTAGGCCCTTCTGTCTGAAAGCATCTAAGGTTTGATTAAGTTCTTCTCTAGGAGGAAGCCCGAGGAGGAAGCCTGAGAAAGTCCATTGTGTGAGAGCTGCCTCCAGAATGCTGTGTTGGACAGACTTTAAATAACAATAGGAGTTATTAGTATATTAGTTTGTTAGTAATTGCGAGAGAAGATAAGTTTTCCCAATATTTGCATATGCAAAATGGCTTTGGCTAACCAAAAAAGGGGGGGGGGGAGGGGGAAGGGGGGAACCAAAAAGCCAAAACATTGCCACTTCAGTGAGTAACAGGGATGATTAAGAATCACCATATGTAAAAAAAAGAAAACCTTCTACTAGAAATACCTTCCCAGATTTATTATCCTCACTGAAGACATAATATTGTCCCTCTTTGGCATTTCATTCTCACTGGGGCAATGAAATAGTTGTTTTCAAAGGGAGAGGGACTGTGTTTGCACCTATTTATTGTTTGACAGTGACCTCCATGAACCAGTCATCACTGCTCTGTCTGTTGTTTTCTTGTTAGCTCTTTGCTGTCAAATTAATTACTGTGAAGTACTAAGCTTGTTGCATTCACGTGCTCTCATTAGCTCACAGGATGTCAGAGTGATTGGATTTTTAGCATTATTTCTTTTTTTACATTCCAGGCTTTCCATTCAAAACCTGTTGCTGGCAGGGAGGAAATACTGTACCTAATTCTGATCTCCCATCAGGGTAGCTCCCGTGACACTGAGGGTTTGATTTACAATGCTGTTATATGCGACTAGGCTGTGTTTATATTAAAACCGACACGAACAATCAGATTGCGATTGCAATGTGGTTTTGAAGCACAGCATTAAGTGTCTTTCCCTTTGCAGTACAGAACAGAAAATATTTATGATGAGAATAGCATTTGTCCCTTCTATTCTTAAATCACAGTAATGAGCTGATCCTCCAGTTGACCTTCTTTACGCTCCTGCGTTGCGTGTATTAATGACAACTAACAGGGCTCACGTGTGCAGTCCAGGAGTATATGAGAAGTTTTATTATTCTAAAACCTGGTGTGAGCCGAAGGGGTTTCTTTGCTGTCAATGCTTGAAATTTGTGTCCCCTGCCTCTGCCCGTTGAAAACCACCCTTTGGCTCGATGGAAAAGATGATGGGCTGGAGATTTACTTTCATTTTCAAAGTTAGATTTCGCTTTGTTTAAAAAAAAAGAAGAAGAAGACAAAAAAAAAAAAAAAAGGAAGATGTTAAAACAGCCAGCAGCCCCCCCCCCCCCCGCCTGGGGCCCGCTCCTGCTCTGCAGGAGGCTCAGCCCAAAGTGCTCGTTTGCCCGCTCCACAGCCCAGGCTTCAGCGCCCACCTCCCGCTTCCCGGCCCCCCCCCCCCCCCTCCCGCCTCTGCAGGACCAGACCCCCCCGCGGCCCCGGCACCTTCGGCCCGTTACCGCAGCGCGGGGGGCTCCGGCGGGCGGCTCGGCTCTGCCCCGGGGCCGCGCTCCCCCGCAGTCCCCGCTCCGGCCCCGCCGCTGCCCCGGTGACCCCGCCCGGCCCCGCCGCCGCTCCCACGCGCGGCCCAGAGGGGGCGCCCTCCGCCCAGGCTTGGCGGCGGCGCCGCGCAGGGGCCGCGGGGCAGCGCGCAGCGGCCGCGGCCGCGGTTGCCGGGCACGGCCACCCCGCGGGGCCGCCCCGGGGCCCGGGACACCGCGCGGGTGAGCCGCGGACGCTGCCCCAGCGTGGGTGCCCGGCCCCGGGGCGCGCCCGCGGCGTGGGGAGGGGGGGGGGGCGTGGGGCGGCGTGCCGCGGAGCCGGAGGTGGGGGTGGTGGGCGCAGCGTGGCTCGCTATAACGACCCGGTGCCGCGGTCGCAGAGGCGCGGCGGTCTCCCTCCGGGCTCAGGAGCTGGGTGGGAGCCTCTCCTCACCCCCGCGGGGGGTGGGGGTGTGTGATCACACCCCCCCGTCCCTTTCGCCTTGGAGACCCCCCCAAAAAAAAAAAAAAAACGGGGCTGCCCCGCGGAGGAAAACCCGCTCCGAGCGCCCGGGCAGGGCCGGTGCTCCCGGCCCTCCCCGCCCCGGCTGCGGGAGCGCGGCGTTCCCGTTATCTCCCCTCCCGGCTCCCCTCGGCCGCCGCCCCGACCCCCCCCCCCCCCCCCCCCCCCCCGCGCTGCCTCCGCCAGGCTCCGCGCCCGCGTCACTCCTGCCCCACGGAAAACACACACAATCCTCGGCACCCGCCCCGATTACCCGGCCCATTCAAACAAACAAACAAACAAACACCCGCCCAGTCGCAAAGCCAACCCGACGGTAAACTTTCTAATGACTTCTTTCAAGTGCTTAAAAGGCAAGGAACACCGGGGGGGGGGGGGGGGGGGGGGGGGGGGAAGGGGGGGGGCCGGGGGGGCCGGGGCTGCTGTCGCTCGGGGTCCGTCCGTCCTGCCGGGGGACGGGACAGGGACGCGGGTCGGTGTGCGGTGGGTGTGTTTGCAGGAACGGGAGGGAGGGAGGGTGGGGACGGGGGGAGTTAAAGAAACAGCATAGTTAATATTTCCACATCAGGAAGTTACTGTAATAGCCCAGGGGGCAAAAGACTTAACTTAATCTCCTAAATAGTGAGGAACCCATGGCGTCTCTGTTATAGGTTGGAGTTCCCACGTGGTTTTAACTCCTGTATAAAAGTTTCAGTAGAAAGTGCCACAATGTCGTGATTTTGCAGGGGGGGAAAATTAGCAGGAGGAGATCAGAGGAAGATAAGCGAGGAGCGAGCCGCTTCCCCGAGACCTTCCACTGCGGATCCGAAAGGGAACATCAGACGCGTTAATAATAATAATAATAATAATAATCATAATAATAATAAAACCCAACAACAACAACAAAAACCAACCAAAAAAAAATAAACCAAAACAAAACCAAAAACAAAACAAAACACAGCGTTCAAGCCAGCACAAGGCGAGCGAAAGATCAAAAAGACGCGGAGAAAGAGAGAGGGAAACAGATTAACTGGAGCAGAGCAGCAGCAACAACAACAAAAATCACACTTAAAATAATACTAACAATAATAATAATAAAACCCAAACCACCAACAAGGGAGATATTGTTTAAAAAGAGCGAGCGAGGGAGCGAGCTGAAGAGCTGGTCTGACCGAGTGGATCCGTGCAGCTTCTCCTGGGATCGCCGGGATCGAGCCGAGTCCCCGCTCCGCGGCCGCGCAGCGTGCGGTACCGCTGCCCGCGGCGGGGGGGCCGCGCCGGGCGCCGCCGCAGCATCCTCGCCGGACTCCGGACTCTCCGCGCTGCTTTGAAAATAAAAGCATCTCGCTGCTAATAAGCGGGGCGGTGGGGGGAGAAGACTCGCAACTGTGGAGCTACCAGCCGCGTACCCCCTCCCCGCCGCCCCCGGCCCCCTCCCCGGCTAGGCTCCGGGTCAACTTCGATGGCACGTTGAGAGGCAGCGGGCGCTGAAGGAGGGACAACCGAGCGGCGCGGAGCGGAGCCGACCTGCTCAGAGACCTGCACCCACGGCCTGTGGATTGTTGTCTTGCGGGGGCGGAGTGGGCGGGGGGGTACAAGTGGCATTTCTCCCCCCCCCACCCTCCCCCTCCTTCCAGGCTATAAATTGGATTGTATATAAATCTGCCTCGTTTATCTCCCTGACCCCCCTCAATGACGCCGGACTAAAGAGCTCCTCTCCGCGGCCCGCCCGGACCTGCCGAAGCGAGCGATGGACCAGGAGCGGCTGCTCCCGGGGATGCCCCTCTGAAGCGGCGCGGGGCACCGGGGCAGCGCGGCGCCGCCTCCCCCCCTGCTCCCCGGCTCCCCTCGCACCTCCGGCTCGCTCCCCACCCCACCCCACCCCACCCCCCCCCCCCCCACCAGCCTCCTCCTCCTCCCCGGGCTCCGCAGCCACCCCCTCACCTGCTGCCGTCCCCCTCCCCCGTGGAGCCGGGCTCTCCGTGCACGCCAAGCCTGCTGCCCCCCCCCCGCTCCCGCCCCCCCAACCCCCGCACCCCCCCTCCCCGCCAACTTCGCCCTCGGTGCCTGCGTGTGCAGCCTCCCCCCCCCCCCCACCCCCCCCACCCCTCCGCCTCCCCGGCGGCACACGCCGCTTCCCCGGGCGCCCCCTCCCTCCGCCGCGGCTCCCCCCCTGCGCGGAGCGGTTGCGGCCCCCCAGCTTGGCTGCCACCGCCCCCTCCGCGCCGCGGAGCGCACGGAGCGGCGCTGCCTGCAGACGGGCTCCCTGCGGCGCTTCGGGGCGGCCCCCAGCTCGGCCCCCCGCTCCTCCGCCATGGACGGGGCGGCTCGCCGGGGGGTGCTGGCCGCGCTGCTGGCCTGCGGGCTGCTCCTGCTGGGCGCCGCGGCCACCCCGACCCCGCCGGCCCCCGCCGGCGGCTCCCCGCAGGACACATGCACCTCCTGCGGCTTCCGGCGGCCCGAGGAGCCGGGCAAGGTGGACGGGGATTTCCTGGAGGCGGTGAAGAGGCACATCCTGAGCCGGCTGCAGATGCGGGACCGGCCCAACATCACGCACGCCGTGCCCAAGGCGGCCATGGTCACGGCGCTGCGCAAGCTGCACGCCGGCAAGGTGCGGGAGGACGGCCGCGTGGAGATCCCCAGCCTGGACGGGCAGGCGAGCGCCGGGCCCCCGGCCCACGACCCCGTTTCCGAGATCATCAGCTTCGCCGAGACAGGTGGGCGCCGCCCGGCCCCGCTCCCCGCCGCCCGCTCCCCCTGCCCGGCCTGCCTCGGCCCCCCGCCCCGCCGCTCCCCCTGCCCGGCCTCTGCCTCTCCCCCGGCTGTCAGTCCCCCTGCTCGGACCCCTGTCAGTCCGTCCCGCTCGCCCTGCCCGGCCTCTCCTGCCCACCGTCGCTGTCCCCCTGCCTTGACCCCCTGACCGCCCTTGCCTGGCCCTGCTGCCTTGCCCCCCCCCCCCACCCCCACCCCGTGCACCCCGCCTGTTCTCCCCCCGCCCGCTGCCGGCACCTGGCTGCCGGGCTCACCCTCCGCCTCGGCCGCTCTCCCCTCTGCCCCGCACCGTCTCGCCCTGGCCCTGCCCGCTCCTCCCCGCCAGTGCCCCCCGTGTCCGGGATGCTCCCCGGGCTGTGCCCTGCGACTCCCCTCGCTGTGTCCCTCCATCCCTCCACAGCCTCTGTGCCCCCCGCCTTCCCTCCGGCTGCCCTTCCAGCTGCACCGTGGCTTGCCTCGGTCCTTGTGCATCCCCCTGTCCCTCTTCTGCCTGTCCCACTCCATCTCTTGCATCCCTCGCCCGGGCTGTCTGCCCTGCACGTTCATCTGGTTCACTGCATGCATCTGTCTGTTGAGGCTTGCATTCGCCCGTCCGTTCGTTTCCCATTTATTTAGCTTTCATTCGTAGTGTTGGCCTTGTCTGTTTGTCCACTGCGTGCAGCCTCCTACCAAGTGTGTCTGTCTCCTCTCTGTCCGTCAGTCCGTTCACTAACTGTGCCATCCATCCCCACGGTACCAGCCATCTCAATCCTGTCCAGCCATTGCAGTTATGTGTCACTGAATCCCTTCAGCGTCGCTTTCCAGCAGTTTATCCAGGCAACCACTGTGCCTGTGAACTTTGCACATCTGGCTCTAACACCGTCACTCTGCGAACCAGCTCCCTCTTGTCTATCTGCCCATTTCTCCTTTCCTTCATCGCTCCATCGTTCAGTTCATTTTTCTCTCTCTCTATCTTCCCGTGGCATCTGTATATCATTTGTCCAGAAAATAAATCTCTTTCTATCCTGTATACTGCCCACTCATCTTCTTTATCTACCCTCCCACTTACCAAAGGCATATACATTTACAGTATCTATGGGATCTGTTGCATTATACATATGCTTGTTATATTCACATACAAAATTTATGGGCACACACAATCTCACACAACACGAGTGATGTGGATCGGTGCAGCAACACTGTACTGTTCTTTTTCTGTCACTGTCACCACAGTTTATAAAGAAGTTGTGTATTTACTAACATGTGAAAGGCTTTCTTCGCGTACATTTTGGGATTTATTATTTTTTAATAGGCTGTTGTTGGGAGATCTGGGGTGGGCTTGTACTTCCATTTGGTATTCAGTCAATCGCTGGCTTTTGTAACACTTCCAGAATCGACTTTATGTAAAACATAGACAAACACAGTGAAAATTTTTGTCACTGAAATATTACAAGGTACCAAATGGGCCCTGGAGGCACATTTGAAAGGCATCTAGGGTAACAAATGAAGACACCGACTACGCAAAAAAAAAAATCCCATTCATTGACAAAAATAATGAAGATTCTTAGGAAAAGAAAAGGAAGAAAAATCTACATTTGGCTCCGTACAGAAAGAAGCGAAACAGATAAAAGCAGATGAGAAAATGCCTTTCCAGCAATAATTTTAAATAGCGGTTGGGAGGCTTTGATTCAAAGACCAGAATTACAGTCTCCGCCATAAAGGCCAGCTTGCACATTTATCACCTACGCCAAATTTAGTTAGGACTTATAGTACAAAATTGCAGGAGGGCCACTGGTGTTTCTGAAATATTTCGTGCAGCAGGCTCTTTTGTTTACAAATAAGGGGTTATGTCAGACATTTGGTGACATTTGCCTTTCCGTGACAATTTCGCTCCTTTAATTCTGGTGTTATTGAAAAGCGTATTGAGAACAGCCAGGGACGGCGTTACAGCGAGAGCAAGCACTTCGTTGCCTCACCTCGTATGGGAGTTTATCGTTTCGGGGGAAAAAGGCAGAGATCGAAACGATTAATAATAGCAGATATTCTGCCAGACTGAGTGGGGGTTAGCTTGATCTTTTGGACAAGCAGGCACATTACTGAAATATTTTCCCCTCTGTCTCGTGAATCCTCTCTGTTAACTGCGATGAGAATATGTGAAAATCGAAACAAAATCCCTGGTTTGGCATTGGCGTTTCGGTGGTTATTGAAAGGGCTCTCCCTGTGAGAGTTGGCAGGTAGCTGAAAGTTAAAACTATTCTTAAACCGACGAGATAGCAGAGTCCGAGTGCCGGTCTTTTCAAGGTGCTGCTGTAGTGTCTTTAAAGCCGGCTGGCTGGAAAAACCCCGTATTCTGGAGAGCTCTTACTGGTGTCTGTGGATCTGACACATCCGACTACAGCCTGATGATGAACGTTGCTGTGGGAAGTCCCCTTTCAATTAATTTTGATTGCAAATTGGGTATCTCTGATTCAGGGCGAGCCTTCTGGCCGGCGCAGCCCTGCCGCCGCTCCCTCGATCTGCGGTGCTTTAGCGTTGTCCCCGAGTCCAGAATGGCACACAGGCTAACGTTTCCTTTTTGACTTAATCTTGCTGATCTCTCCTTATCTTGCAGACGATCTGGCCTCATCTAGAGTCCGCCTCTATTTCTTCATCTCGAATGAAGGGAACCAGAACTTGTTTGTCGTTCAAGCCAGCCTGTGGCTTTACTTGAAGCTGCTTCCATATGTCTTAGAGAAAGGCAGCAGGCGAAAAGTAAGAGTCAAAGTCTATTTCCAAGACCCGGACACTAGCAACAAGTGGAATGTGGTTGAAAAGAAAGTTGATCTCAAAAGAAGTGGTTGGCACACTTTTCCCATGACAGAGGCGATCCAGGCTCTGTTTGAGAGAGGAGAAAGGAGACTGAACTTGGATGTTCAATGTGAGGGCTGTGAAGAGTATTCAGTGCTGCCAATTTATGTGGACCCCGGGGAGGAATCCCACCGGCCTTTTTTAGTGGTGCAAGCCCGCCTCGCCGATAACAAACACAGGATCCGGAAAAGAGGCCTGGAGTGCGATGGCAGGACCAATCTATGTTGCAGGCAACAGTTTTACATTGACTTTAGACTCATTGGGTGGAATGACTGGATCATAGCACCATCAGGTTACTATGGGAATTACTGTGAAGGGAGCTGCCCGGCCTACTTGGCCGGCGTCCCGGGGTCGGCTTCCTCCTTTCACACCGCCGTCGTGAATCAGTACCGAATGCGGGGGCTGAACCCGGGCACCGTGAACTCCTGTTGCATTCCAACCAAACTTAGCACAATGTCAATGCTGTACTTTGATGATGAATACAACATTGTGAAAAGGGACGTTCCCAATATGATTGTGGAAGAATGTGGTTGTGCTTGATTTAAGGTGTGTTTTTGGGGGGGGAGAGAGGGAGAGAGAGAGAGAGGGAGAGAGAGAGAGAGAGAAAAAATCATTCCTGTACAAGATGGTGTTGGAGGAAGTTTCACTGTGTATCCAGGCATCAGTGTTGGAAAGTCACTGTGGAAAAGTTTGACAAAAAAAAAAAAAAAAAAAAATCATTTCACTTTGGTGTCAGGACAGTGGCAGTTTGTGGATCTTGGACACTTATATATTCTACCACTTATAAGTTAATGGTATGAAATATCTTAAAGACACACACACACACGAGACATGGGCACGCACACAAACACGCGCTCATACACACACAGACACACACACACACACACACACACACACACACACGAGGCAGCTTGGAAAAGGGACATGAGCACAGAAAGTCAGTGACCAGTGACGACGGACCTAAATGCCTGCCAGTACGAGTGAACGGCTGAGCAGCTGTTTCCCTGCCTGCCGGCGAAGCCAGACCGAAATGAGCTCCCTTTGCTCAGGCAAAAGCACAGAC